ACACAGTGCCATCTAGATCCAAGTTAAGCTAGTTAAAGCTTGTGTTATGGGTACTAGATGACTGATACATATACATTATATGTATCAGTCATATATTCTTCTTCCATTGCTGCAGTCCTACAGCAAAGTGGTTATTATATTTTACTCTCTATTCATACTTCATCCTGGTCATAGTTATTCTTAATAAAGTTATTATTGAAATGAACTTTGTAATATATGTGCCACAGATGCCAATTTAATGTGTCTATTGTAATCATTATCTTTATGATTGGAATCACTTATGATATCTAAATCACATAAATTAATTTTACTGTGTTTAAATTGGAATAAATTTTTAAATACTTATATTTCTAAGGGTACTGCGTTGAAATATCATTAAAATAAAAAAATGTCTTTTAATTTCTATTATTACTCATATCCCATGCTTGCTAAAAAATCCATAATCACTAACTGCGAATTTGATCTAAAAAGGCTAATAATAAACTACGTATACTATTTGTAATCCAAGAGGTACTAATATCTGTCAAATAAATTAAATGTGTATGAGTGTTTATACCGACTTCATTCATTAGGTGAATACTAAATGTAAATTTACATTTTTCACACAGGTCTTGCCAAACTATAGTATCGTAAAATACGTCTATGCTATATTTAGTTCGAGTCACATTTCCAAGCATTCTTTGAATAACATAGAAATGCGACTATTACCACGGTCTACCGTGAGATCACCATTTAAAAATATATCTAGTCTTTGCCGTCTCTCCCTGTTTAAGTCACATGAATTATCGCTAATGTATTACGACATATCTTCGTTTAGTATTATCTATTGATAGTGTGTTAATCATATCTGCTTTTCATTAACTCTGTGACTTGCAATCTGGTGCTGTTTTGCTTAATACCATGTATTATCATAATTCTGAATTAGTTTCTATACTTACGGGCTGAATTTTGACGTGAATTAATAAAGATCGATTTGAGAAAATCCCTTTTAAAACAGTATTGTAGTTTTAGTTTACAACGAACCTACGAAGACCATTTGACATTCTCTTCAATGATTCCGATTAATACGGATTAAAGTTTGCTGTTAATGTTATAGCTGTATATAACATTCTAACAATAAAAATAAAAACAGTATTTTCACTGTAATATATTAATTGTAGGTAGCAAATAGCAATAATACATGAAACAATAAAATAAATACCTCATACGCGGCATTTTCCAATCAGATTGTATGGTTAACTGTAATAAAGTTTGCAATTTGTGTCCTCTTTAACTTACCTAATTCATGTATGAACAATATCACAATTATGTTGAGTATAGAAGAAATTTGACATAGATTATTTAGAGACACTCCCAAAACTTCTAAGCCATGAGCCAATATGGTAGTTGTTTGCTAAATGAAGTCGAAATAAACCGAGATATACATGACTAAGCGTTATTATTTACTCATGTGTAACAATTCTAACTCTGTGTAAATAAAATGTCCTTGCAATGTAAACAATTATAGTGCATTGACTTTGTAACATTTTAAATTTGGAACATTAAATATTATTCGAACTTAATTTTTATCATCATAAAATTATGATAGAAATAGGCACATTTCTTGCGACACACCTCCAAATATATGAAATATCTTTAAGATTACCTTGATTATAAGATAACATACTGAAAAACAAATACAAATTAGATAACTAGGTAGGTACTTTATTAGTCTGATGTATTAGTCAGAGGTACGACAAATTCTGTTATACAAAATGATTATGAATACGACAAAAGATATATCCCATTTATAAAAATATATATACATTGATGCCTTACAATTATGACATAATACGTATGTTTAATAAGAAACGGAATTAATATTTTTTTTTATTAACTTAAATTATTATACAGTTATTACCTAGACTTCTTAGAAGTATTTCTTCTAAAAAAAATATTAAAATATTTTAACGTTTAATAAATCAGGCATGAGTGAATTTATTCCTATTTGCTTATGACAGCTATTCAAAAAGTAGATTAATTGTTTCATTGAGTTATGGTACAAAGTCCACAACGAATCTCGTATTGGCACGACTCTCCCGTTCCATACACGGGGCCTGCTTACGACATTCAGTTTATTTATACCATTTAAATGGTTATTTCCAGTTAATAAGTGAAATAAAAATGTTATATTTATAGTAGCAGCAGTTACTAGTATTTAATTTTATTTATTGATACAAAACTGTAAGCTTTGTTATTTTGTTTCAATATGCTAAAGTCTGAAATTAGCAGTCGATGTTAAAAATTTAGGTTTATTACATTATAACCCTTTTTCTGAGAGTTTACTAACACCATTATGTTATCTATGCTCACACTAAATAGATTTTAAATAAATTTTCTATTTAAAATCCATTTAGTGTAAACTAAAATACATTCTGTGATCGGTTAGTCATGGAATATTTTAGTGCCATGCGCAAATGTCTCTAATTTGTAAAAATCACAGAACAATTATAATTGTTCTGTATAGAGTGAGTAGTTCTGTATACTCTATAGAGTGACATATGATAGAGCTGGCTTTATGGAAACCATACAGAAATTGAAACTATGCTAACTGTAATGGTTCTAAAAAAAATAAAAGCTTGAACAGTTTCAAATAAAGACTCTTTTGTTTTAAGAGAAGTGGTTATACATGGGTCCAAAACTTTCACATTTAATCTATGTTCAAGTACAGATTTGTGTAATATTCTCTTATCTATGGTTTAATATAAAACATATTATGATTATAACGCAATCCTACTGAAAATTAAGTGATTTTAATATAATATTTAATTTCATACGTATGGAAATTCTTTGCGTCGTCTATCTGTCTGTGTCTGCTCAGGGTAACGTCTCTTGTTATGTCTATCAGGTGAACAGATTACACTATCAAGTATTAGATAGCATTCTATCTTGAATAATCTATTGATTTCTTTTGAAACTATTGACGCTCTGGTAGTATCAGCAGGAAGTCTTAAAATATTTTGTACACAACAGCTTAAATCTACAGCAACAAAGCGACAACTTCACACAATACTACAAGCGATGTCATATTATATGTACAATAAAATGATAAGCCAGTTATGTCAGTACAATAAATATTTAAACAAAATAGTTTCTACACGTTCTATTTATATTACACTAGCTACTCGTCCCAGCTTCGCACGAGTGTACATGTATTATATATATAAACCTTCCTATAGAATCACTCTATCTATTTAAAAAAAACCGCTACAAAATCCGTGGCGTAGTTTTAAAGATTTAAGCATACATAGGGACAGACAGCGAGAGCGACTTTGTTTCATACATGTAATAATAATAATGAAGAGACAAAAAACAGCATTTAAATGATTGTGTTGTTACGTTTCTGAAATTTTTGTTGTGTACACATATTTAGAAATAAAGATTTGGGGCTTTTTAAGGAAATCTAACAAGCTTCCTGTAACATTTAATATTAGTTTCATTCCACGCGGTTCTAAATAAAAAATGCAATTAATATATACCATTTTTTGTTTAGAACCTACCATGTATTATTACATATTAATATTATTATTATTATCATATATTATTTTGAATCTCTTTTTTTAGACATGAGATACTTATCCCTTTCTCTTCATATTTCCACCCCCTTAAAACAGAGGGCTGTTTAAAGGGGTTACTATATATTGTCCAATATATAGATTTTGAAATTGTATGCAGCGGTGTACTAACTTGCTATAACTTTAAATTAATCCAATATAACTTGTATAATAGAAATACATAAGGCAGTGTTGCAACAAATACAAAATAATCTGAATTGACAGAATAATTAGGCTAATATGCGCAATTAATGAAATGCTGTAACGGCATATAATTTGATATTGTTGTGTAAAATTATTAGTACCGTAAGTTCAAAACGATGTCAATTGATACTAACATTAAATTCCTATATATATGACAATAGTGCGTTAAATAAATTAATATTGTTAAAAGCGAGATAAACTTTACATTTGCATGTAAAAATGTACAACGTCATCTAAATGAACGAAACTTATCTATTAAACTAAATTGCCTAGAAACATTATAACTATTGCGACCCAAACAAGTTTAATTAAACAGGTTTTAAAATATCTGATTATGTTGAAACTTGAAATGTATGACGTCGTAGCAATTATAGATACGAAGAGGCGTGACACGGTGCCGCCATTCCATTGGTTTACGGTACTATTTAAACAATTTTAATTGTGATACCATATGTTTCTTTGTATTGTTGAACGTGTTTCAATGTTAATGTATGTATGTTTATAAAACACGTGTGTACTTTATTACGCAATGTTAGAATTCTTAATTGTTAGAACTGTTAAAATCGATAAGTTTTCTATATTTGGTATAGGAATCGTTTGAGAATTCCAAATACAAACTAGTTTCCGCAGTAAGCAATTGTTATTTTCAAATAAAGTATAAGTATTTGCAGAACTGAATAGGATTTAGTCTGTTTGAAATGAAAAAAGATATCAAGTATTATGTAGTATTAGGTATATATATCAATTTTTTTTATATATTAACAATGATAGTTTCTGTCAATAATTGGCCAATTATATAGCAATATCATACAGACTTTCGTCTGACTGAGAAATAATAGCTATTAAGCAAATAAGGTTTGAGTATGTAACACGTTTGCAAAAGTTTTCCAATATTTTATATCTTCTTTTCAATCTTTTTAGTGAACACTTTATTAGTGGTAGGTAGTGGTAGGTTCATGGTTACTAACAATATTATTCTCAAATATGAATCTCAATAATCTGAATAAACATTATTATTATTATTTACTTTACTGATGCCGTATCATGCAGTGTTTGCGAAGTATCTGTCTTTCGTTATCGATAGCAATAATTTATCTCATCTCCCCCAACCTGCAAGAAGTGGTAAAGATCAGGGGTTTTAGTGGAATTATATAAGAGACCAATGGAATATTATTAATTTACAAATTTCGTGTATTGTTACAGTTTCTATGCGCACACGCCGCGTCAGTCCATTCGCGCCACTCCTAATCGCACTAGTCGGCTTGCCCGCGCGGGGCAAGAGTCAGCTGGCCCATCGTCTCTCCAGACACCTCAACTGGAATGGAGAAAGTACTAAAGGTAAGAGGGTGATCATCATATCTGTCTTATATTTGATACATGTTTTATCAATTTATTAAATAAAACTTAGTAAAAGTTAGGGCATATTATATCATTTTAGTGCAAAATAAACGGACTATAAGGTGTTAAGTATTCACACTAAAATATCAGTTATAATAAATTTATTAAGCCGTATTCATTATTAGGCCACAATCGTATACATGTCTTAACTTATCACTTTCGTAAGCAATTTGTGATTGTATGACTGAACTAGGCACGAAATATGTATCTCAATAGTCCAGAACTAAAATATAAACACTACTTTGTATAGTTTAATTCAAAATAAAAAAAAAACAATCCTGGGCTCTCAGGATCGTATTTTTATTAATTTTGATTTTTTTCATAAATGATTTGAAATTATTCGTAAGTGAAAAATACAAAAAATCGTAACGAATTAAATTAGGTTTCAATTTAATGTAATTCATACGTCTTTTCTTTATTTCATCATGTTCTTAGTATTTAACAAGACTATTTATTTAGTACTAGCTGCGTTCTTATTATTTATTTCATACCTGACAATGTTGCATTTTAATAGAATCATTACCGTGACCTAGATGTTGGTACTGATGTTCTTAACACAGTGCCATCAAGTACGAGTATATATAATATACATACATGACTGATTACGACGGGACATGACCTACTTTGTCCTAACAAGAATGCCCGTAACCGTTTTCTTTGCTTGCAGACGCGTAGTTTATTATTTAACAAATACTATAAGTATATGCATATTTTTTGTTGAATGCATATAATATTTAAAATTTAAAATCGACCATATATCCGATTAAGATGGTTTCTCTGTGGTTTGTCGTAAGACAGGCCTAAACGAAAAAAACTTGGAAAATACCATACAAATAAAAAAACATATTTTTTATTTGTTAATTTTATATAGAAAAAACATATTTATTTATTGTTCTGCTAAAGTTCTATATTTGTCCTAATTATACTTAGGGAGAAGTGTATAGAATTAGGAAGCGCTCCTAATTCTATATATGTCTATAGTTTTAATTCGATAGTATAATAGTTGATAATGTATACTTATGCATGTATATAAATGATATACATTTTCTTTTTTGATCTAGCGGTTTAGCATACCACAGTTTTGACCCTCACGCGGTGCAAACGTTTGTATTAATGAGTCTGATTATTTGTTTTGGTCTGTGCGTTTTCTATGCATATTATGTATGTATTTAAATATTTTTATCAGTTGTCTAGTACTCATAATACACGGTCTGCATAGATTAGGTTGTTAGATGGCGTTGTGAAAATTTTCCAGGGTTATTATTGTCATTATATTAGTTTCCTTTGTTCTGACCTATTTATATTGGATGTACCTAATTAAATACATGATCTCAATACAATAATAAACCTTGTTCTTGTCATGCCTCCTACGCAAGATAACAGTATGATGTATGGCACAATGATTTAGAAGCAGAAGGTTGCAGAGCTCGCCAAAGTTCCTTCATTTAATTAACATCCGTATTCCATATATTGTATAGTTCTCTATTTTACTTAATAATGATACTAATGGATATTATTAACATAGGAAAAAGTTAAGATATTAATTATAACGAAAATAATATTTAAGATGAATTACTCCCACGACTTTATTATTTGTTAGAGCATATATTGCATTATCTTCTTGTTAAATTTAGTTAGTCGTTTAGTCATGTAAATGTAACAGTTGACAGACAGACAGATATCTGTCTACCAACTATCGTCATATTAGCTGTGTTCGCGGTGTTATCCGCGTGAAATTTATAGATGAATAAGCTATATTATTGTAAAGTTTCATTAAAATCTATTCAGTCGTATTTGCGTGAAAGAGCAAGTCCGATCCATCCATCCATTCTTCCATTTACACTCACAAATTTCCGCGTTAAGCTTAGTATGATGTGCACAATAAATTTCTAATTTTAGACAAAGTCAACAAGCAGAAATTTTCATTGTACATTTGTTTTATATGTATATTTTTTAATCATCATCCATGATAGGTGATCTTGCAACCGCAGGCAACAGCTAGTAATCTATGAAATTATTCTCTAACGATTGATTTATTTTCAGTGTTTGACAGTAGCGAGTATCGCCGTCGTCATATGGCCCTGTATGGTAGCCATGACATATTCCGAGCTGATAACCAGCAGGGCTCTGCCATCCGTCGCCAGAGCGCCAGGGAGGCTGCCCAAGATGCTGTCCACTGGCTGAAAGATGGAAACAGTGTCGCTGTAAGTAACTATATAGTTTAATATTATTTAGAGTTTAGTGAAAATATTTAGTAATATAAAAAATACCAACAGTAAAGACCGTTCGCCCAGATACAACAATGACCTATTTGTAAATAAACACACCCTTTAAAAATTATAAAAAAAATAATTATTTCAGTTGCGATTATTCCGTTCATTTTTAATTATTTAATTAAATATATAAAAAACATCTTATTTTTTATTGCTATTGCGCTTAGATGAGGGCAGACACAAGGTCTTTGAATAGAGGTAGAACGAATACTGTATATCCTAATTTTATAGTTTGGACACACTCTCCTTAATGTAATAAAGATTTAAATATAAGGAAGACCTTAGATCTCATTTCTTCACTGCATATCCAATACTAGAACATTCGAAAAGCTTTCTCAATAACGTGTTTACATAATGTGTTACGTCAAATAATTATCAGTATTCACATTGTCTAAACAGTATCGATAACTCGCATGACTTCTTTGATTAGGTATAGAGATTATTATTACATCCTAGATGTGCTTACTTCAAACTATCTAAACATGTATAATCTCAAATAAATTATGAATAATATTATTATTACAATAAATTGCATAATGCAAATGAAGATTATGAATATAGAAATCGGGACAGCTGTATTTTTCAGTTTGAATTTATAATTCAAATAAATTAAGCTGCCATTGTATAATAATATCTGATGACGTCGTTTGAATAAATGATAGATTGTAGAATCAGGAGATTAAAAATCATAAAACGAATAGTTACGTTTTGATGGTCGCTTGTTACCCCTAAAATCTTTTACAGATATTCGATGGCACAAATATAACTCGAGAGCAACGCCAAGACTTAAACGGCCTCAGTGAAATGGGCTTCAGGATCCTCTTCATCGAATGTGTCTGCGAAGACCAAGATCTACTCGAGAGGAACATCATTGAGATTCTTCATTACTCTGCTGATTATAAGAACATGAGTGAGGACGGAGCCGTGGATGATTTGAGGAAGAAACTTGAGCATTATATGAGGCAGTATGAGCCAATAGACGTTGGAGTGGAGAATATCGCGGTTGTACGCGTGGAGAACATGGGAGAGACCGTGACTGCACACAAAGTCTCTGGGCAGAAGGAGTCAGGCATACTTGGCTACTTGTCCGGGATGCGAGCTCTTCCACAGACTTTGTATTTTACACGGGTAATTATTTAACGAATATTATTATATAATATTCTCTTATCTGTAATATTACTGCCTAACCTGGCCACGCCTGGCTCGTAAGTTCTAATATCGTCTATATTTATCAATAAAAATATGTGCTACATTTTAAAGGTAGAGCCAAAGCAGAGTAGTAGTGATAAAGCAGAGGTAACGAATGTAGCTGGCTAGTAAATGTCTGAGATTTTAATATGGAAAATATAGTAACAATTAAAATACGACATTGATACAACATCGATATAAAATAGATTACAATAAAAAGGAACATGTTAAAAAATACAAATAAGAAAAGAGTTCGTTATACTGGATAATAATCATAACGCGTTTTTTTATAGTATCACAACTATTCTGAAGGCATTTATGACAGTTTGTTTGTTTTCTAAATTGTTTCTCATATCTATTAGGTATAACCCTGGATGTCCTGTAATAAATAATATTGTAAAAATATTTGATAAAAGTAAATAATATGAAGTAATAACAATTTAGATTTTCTTTTTAAATAAGAATAATAGTACTTACATGATATGATGATACCACCATATTATATAACTATATTAATGATGACCTTATTCGATAAATATACATTAATGTTTTCTTATATTGGGAGATTTATTCATCATTAACACATTCTCTGATAGTTACTACAGATTAACTTATATAAACATGTTTACTTCAATACTTACTATCTACTTTAAAATAGACAAAACAATTTCTTAGTAGAGTATTTAAATGGAGTTGATATTGGGTCTATTACCCCAGCATTCGTTTGGGTAACAACCCCAAGTAAAGTGAGTGTTTAATATTGTTGACGATAATAAAAGTTGTTATTTGGCGTGATTGTTCGCATTTATTTATTATGAAAGTTAGATATATTAGTTTCTCTGTCGCATAGCGCGTGTTAAATTCACTAAAAATGCTTTAAATTCTATTCTATTCATTATGCACGGTTGTTGCTCGTACAATTAACTTCTAGATTTTATTATTTCATATTGTCTTTTTACATGGGTGTGTCATCATTGTGTTCCTCCAAATATATCTACCTACTTACCTACATATTTATGAAATTAGGCTCTCTGTCTGTAATTTAGTCCATGGTTTTTATACATTCATTATTCATTCTGAATATTAGAACTACACAAGCCACAACAAGGCGTGGTCTGATCAACTAGTTTTACCTAAATGACATGAAATTGTCGTGTCACTTTCTTTTTCAAAATAGTATATTATAGATTTCATAATTTCAGACCATAAGTATAAATCAAAGCTACTACTTAGTACTTATATATGATTATGTTTGTTGCCAGCATGGAGAGAGCGAGTATAATGTCCTGGGCCGCATCGGAGGTGATGCTGCACTCTCTGCAAGAGGCGAGATGTACGCCAGAGCACTGGCAGAACACATGAACGGACTGGCTACTCGAGAACCATTCTCCATTTGGACGTCCGAGCTACGTCGCACCAAACAGACTGCAGCTGATATCAGAGCACCGAAATGTGCTCTTAGAGCGCTTAATGAGCTGGATGCTGTGAGTATATTGTAGTATTATGTAATAATAACGAAAGTGTGTCTGTCAGTCTGTGTGTTATTTAACGACTTAAAGGCTGAACGATTTTGCCAGATATTTTTTTACTATTATATTAGGATTAAGGTAGTATGTATGTTCTATCCTCATCTTGGTCTGTAACAGGTTTCAGTATAGTTGTGATTTGATATATATTACAACTGACTGCTTCGCCTTAACTGTTCAACCGATCATCCTAACATTTTACATATGCAGGCAACTTTAGAATGACTAGTAACTAATATTTGCCAAATTGTATTTACTTGGAAAAAATGAGATTTCTATATATTGTACTATATTTGATTATAGTACAATATTCTTGTTAGGAAACGGTTTTGCTTATTTGACTATAGTCCAAATAAAGTTATATATAGTCTTATACGCTCTACAATTTAACGGTTGACTAGTACAGAAGGGTTATGAATGCAGTACTAAAAATGTGACATACTTTGCTAGCGTAATGTCTAACATGTCACTTGACTTAGAAGCAGATTACCTGTCCGTTAATGACAAAATGCTGTAATTGCCATCTGGGATTAAATCTGCCATGTAGGTATACAATTGTTGAATGTGTCTAGATATATAAATAAATAAATATAGGAGTATAATAAAACTTATAAGTAAAATGTATACTAAGTTGTTTTGAATATCACATTAGTTTGTAGTTTAGTACCCGTGTTTGTATTCTATCAATGAATAGCGGTGAACATAAGGCATAATAAATAGGACTTATATCTAATAATACTTTAAGCTGGGTAGTATTATCAATGCGTGTATTATAGGAACTACGACTATATAAATGAATGAGTATATTCGATCATTAAAAAATAAGTATATAAATCAATTTAAACATTATCTTAATATTCACTGAGTCATATTGTTTCATATCTAAAGATTAGACATGTTATCATTAATAATACATTATATCCAGAGTTGCCAATTTTATTACAAAGTAATTATATATCTACATGTAGTTATGTAAATATTACCTTGTATTAAAATTGTAGAGCAGAATAAAAAAAATATATTTTATTCATTTAGTCCCAACCCAAAATCATAGGAAACTCTGTTAATTATAAAAATAAAAAATAATGTTATTGTTGTACATGTTACTCACTGATAAAATAGTTTTCGCAAGATGAAAGAATATTAAAATAATGTCCTGTATTTTTTGTGTTTATTCATTACAAACGAAAAATCAATTTGTTCATGGATAATTAATCATATCTCATTAAAGTACCTACAACCAGTACCAACATCTACTTGAGATATAATTATTCTCTATATTTCAACAAAAGACAAAACATTTATACTAACTAACTATTATTATATTATTAGTAAAAATACAATAAAAGTTAATAGAGATTTTTTTAAATACTAATTTTATTTATAATGAGTAATAGTATTTTACTTATTATTAAATTATTAATAAAACCAAATGAGAGCAAATCGGTGTTGTTCAACTAATTTGCAAAATTTTAGTCAGTTTAATAATTTGTTCGCCATTCGCCATAGATTTCATTTAATATATATAGATTTTTTTTAATATGTAATATCGTTTTTACTCAAGAATTACACAATTATAATAGTTTTACTATTATAATTTATAATTTTAGCAATGAAAACAGACAGTGTTGGTTATGTTAATTTTATTCTATACAGTGCTTTAATATTTATATTAAAGCAAAATTTGGACGCGAATTCCCCATGCTATGTGCATCAATAAATTAACTGTGTTATCTATGATCCATTATCCATTATCAGTATACATGTGGCGCGATGTTTGATGAGATAAGAAACTGCTAATATGAATAACAAATTTCCGCATACAGGAAATTCGAGATGGTTATAAACAGCACAAATTCTGCTTATTAAAATGAAAACTTTTGAAATTCTCGTGTGTATATGAAAATAAATGCAGGAAAGCAAGGGAATTAAAAGAAATAAAGCCATGATTCTATTCCACATCTTTCAGTTATCCGATTAGGTAAAACAATTGCCAATATACTTACATATATAGTATATGTATCGTATAGTGCATCTGTAGCGATTTAAACTTTAATCACGGAATACATTGTTAACATAGGTACCTTTTGTGTGTAAAAAAAATTCATATTGTTATTTTTATGAATTGCCATGCAGTGCCATACCGTATAGGTATTTTGTGATAGGGATGTTCGTTATTCATTGATGGTTACTTGAACAATATTTAACATATGTATTTTTATGGAGTACATCTGTGTGTCCAAGAAAGTCGGGACAAAGTTGTATCGCGAATAGGATATAACTCACAGTAGCACCTATATCATTAAGCATATATGTATTATGTAAGTATTTTCCATTAAATAATATATATATTTATACAATGATATTATTATAATGTCGTAGACGTTAAGTCTTCGTAACGTCGACAATAATATAAATTAAAAATTGAAATTGCAAAAATTTTAAATGACACAAATTCAGTGGCTAAAGATATACATTGATATTTTTTGACATCAGTTTGATATATTATAGACGCACGTTGCTATCGATATAAATGTCGATTTTTTCTAACATAGACCATCCCTAATATGCGGTTACTTATTAATAGGTCCGTAATCCGTTAAATATTAATGAATACAATGTATGACTGTTTCACTCGCTCGTATATCAATATGGTGTGAACATTTACTATAACTGTAATGTTATGTTATCTGTGCTATAACCAACATTAGAATATAGTACGACGTCGTGACACAGTGATGAACTGCCCCGATATAGATAACAAGGGCCGTTCATTAGAATCTGGCCGAATAAAATAATATCTGTGACAATCTATATTTTTGACTAAATCTTTATAACAAACTATTGTAATTATATTTCTGACTAAATGTTCGGTAATAGAAACCAAATTAATTAATGATTTTCCAACTACTTTACCGCAGCTGGGTTTTACCGCTTCACCGAATGATATAGGGGCGAGTGCGGAAGGCACTCCAAACCCTCGGAAACCTTATGCTGACGGATGTGAATTGACTGTGATTAGAGTAAGGGCACCATAGCGTAAGAACTTTGGCTCAGGCTGTCATAATTTCGATTACAGTTTGAGTGGGAATGGGAATCGATCTGAGTGAATTTAATAGAGAGACGGCGTTAGGCTAGCCCGTTGTTAGGTTGAATTCAAATAAACCCAAAGAAATTTACCCTACATTTTTTCATTAATATAAGTTTACGTTCACCATATTGTCTACAGTTGATGATGGTTCAAAACCACTCCATCTGCGATAATAGTCATAATCTTGTTATTAGAATGCTATATTTTACTTATAACGTTGCTGTGTTATACGCAGTATGTGACACACTGGATAAAAATAAAGAGAGTGACACATTCTTATCTCTTCTTACATTGTCACTATAAATAACTTAAATGGCATCTGTCACATAATGTATCCGAAAATAGAGATTGCATATACCAATATAGGTATGTAGTATAAAAATAAAATGGAACACGCTCCATTGTTATAGAGCAAATATTGTGAGATCTCTAACATTTTTTACATAATACCTTGCATTATGTAAAAAACTTACATTACACGCAGATGATATAGCATTCTATAGATAAAAAAACTGGAATTAAAATTATTTATTTTTATATAGTAACATGTGTTTTGTATTTGTTTTTTCTTGACCTCTTTCAGTATACGGACCCCTAGAAAATCGAGTACAATTTCAACCCCCTCTAATCAAAAACACACGAATAATTTAATGTAGTACCACAAAAAAATAACTGTTACAAGACTTGGTGGCAGTTATTTATTAATTTAAATGTTCACAGATAAAACCGCGAAAACTCAGAGCACCATAAACACAAGTTAAGAAACCTAGATTTAGACAACCCGTAAAATAGAGTGTATACGTACATAATAATATTTTTGTTTACTAAATATATTATGATACTGAGAGATAATGCTATATTACGGTAATTTTAATAATAAAATTTTATTTTAGTCTTTTAATATTTATTATTAAATATATTGCACCATTTTGCAGTCATAAATATAGATAGATAATTGATCTTACTACATTAAACTAAACTTCGCATAATAGACATCATGAAATTTTATAACGATATAAAAATAAGTAGGTTCATTAAAATTTCATTAATTGATGAATTTGATCATACATACTACTAGTTGATACTCACAGCGCTGTCTGCCTATGTATCTCAATAATAATATAGCTAGCAATACTTGAAAAAATGAAAAAAAATAATTTTATTTATTATTTTATTATAACTACCCCAATTACTGCTTACTGCGCATTACAAGCTTACGTGACTGTTCTCAAATATTTTCAATAACAATGTCGAAGGTGGAAATAAGATAAAGCAAATCCTTAAATATAATTGATAACATTAACCATATTATGATAAAATGAAAAACAAACAAGTAATAAATAGATTTTTTATTAATTTTCACAAAGTTAGGTCACGCCTAGTGGTTATCTTACCTAATTTAGACACCAAGGTTGTGAGTTCCAAACTCTGATGATGGAAGCGCCCAAAACAAACCAAATTAATCGTAAACAGTTAGCTTGTCATATTGAATTTATGCATATCAAGCGAAATGTTGGCAAATTAAGTATTATTTTCAACACGACATGCCTCTGACTACTCTATGATAGCCTATGTTTGTTCTTGTGATACAATCTATCTTTATACCAATTTAATTCAGACCCGTTCAGCCCGATAACATATAGACAGACACACTTTAGAATGTATACATTTGTGATAATGGCAGATATTTTAGATATATGATGGAATACATATTTATAATTGATGAATAATTATCCGCAGGGCATCTGTGAGGGACTGACCTACGAGGAGATGCAGGAGCGTTTCCCCCAGGAGTTCGCATGGCGTGATCAAGACAAGTTGCGGTACCGCTATCCGTGGGGTGAATCCTACATCGATATCATGACACGACTGCGCCCTGTCCTCTCGGCTTTGGAAGACGATCACAACGTCATCGTGGTAGGACACCAAGCCGTGCTACGCTGCATGCTGGGTTACTTTCTCGATGCTAAACTTGGTAATTGTTTTTTTTAATGAAACTGTGCCTAAAATGTCGTTTACGCGGATGCCTCAGTCTTACTCATTTCAGCCGTCAATCAATTTTTGCAAGCTGTTTCGGTAGAGTGCAGATTAAACAGTGAAATTACAGATTAAGAAGGTTGACATCTTAGTGCTTTGGAATGGCATCGCATGAGTGCGATTATAGATGTTACATAATAACGGGATTTAGTTCTGGTCTGGTATAGATAGGCTGCCCCTTTCCATCGCGCCGTCAGCTTGTTTGTCATTACAATCACATAAAAAATCTAATAAATTTTAGTCTACGTAGACATGACACTTTATTCCTCAGACAATAGAAACAGTGAAGATACCATTGCTTCGATATGATGACGTGATGACGTGATGCCGCGACATGATATCTGTGGTGCTGTTCATGTATATAAGCTTATATTTGTACTTATATTTGTTTGTAATTCAACAATTAGCCTATATTGTTATATTATATGCTATATATTCGGCTTATGTGTAAACATTACTTAACATTAGTGAAGAGATATGCTATGTTTAAAAAGGAAAATAGTGTTTAGATAACGAATCAGCTATTATCATTAGATACTTATGGTGCATTAACATTAGTTGATAACTCAGTAGAAAAATAGTATGCGGGGGTTCGCACTTCCTCGTATTTGAGTGTATGTAGTTTTATATTGATAAAAATTACTGAGTCTTAAAAGTATGGGATACTTGAGGAGTATGGGCTTAATTTTGGTTTCGTCAGTCATTTGATACTGCAACTATTAGTATTTTCGGTGTTTCGGATAAAGACTATAAAGCTATGGAAACCAGGGGCCTAAACCTTAATCAAAGAAACTCGCCGACTAACAGAGGTTTCTGATATTTGATCTGATGAAGACAAACTGATATTTAGGCTACCGAATAGCATTTAAATGCACCATGGAGAATAGGGTATTATTTTAAATATTTTTTACTAGCAATTATTTATTTCAAAACATATTTTAGAGCATTCTTGAAATTAGAACCGTAATTAACATATAAACAGCTTGTTAAAAAATAATATAAATGACGGCTTTATAGTCATGTTATTTTAAGAAATAGCCAAGAGTTTTTATATGGCGTTAACTAAAAATTATAATTATTACTTATTCCAGATGAACTTCCATACATGACCGTGCCTCTACACACTATTGTGAAGCTGACATCCTACGGCTACACGTACAAAGTGGAGATGATCAAGATGCCAGTTGACTGTGTGGATACACACCGCAAACAGCCCAAGGTAAGAAGATAGAAATATTTATTTACATATCTAATCAATATCTTGGTCATGTAGCAATATATACTAGACTAATATCATGTTCCAATGGACGTGAGTTGGTTTTCCGTTCAATACAAAACGTTTGTATTCATCAGAAAGATGGTCAATACTTTTAAATTTCTGGTTTTGTATTTTTCCGCAAATAAAATAAATCTATGGAAGATAATGTAAAATGGTATTACGTTCTAATGCTGTATTATATTCTTTGTTGTTGGACATTGTCTAATCTGGATAATTTTCAACAATTTCTATGTGTAATATATATAAAATTTCCATCTTACTATGATTAAAATAAATTTGGCAATCATATTCTGCACTACTTAGTAAATATCTAATAATAAATATCAGGTATTCATGCAAAAATAAATGGGTAGTGCACGTTTACTGTCACGCTTCACGTGTACTACGACATTTGCAGGTTAGACAATAAACGGGACTTTAGTAAAGTTATCTATTGCGTATATATATATGTATATATGTTATATATGTATATGTAGAAATATTTACAAAGTTATGGATATTATATTTCTTCGCCTGTGTACTTGCTGACAAGATAATTTAGTATAGCGGATTACTTTATTGTTTGAATAAACACGAATTACATTTTGCAGAGTTCCCTGATAACTATTACTCTTGTTTACTTAATAATTGTTAACTGATTCAATTTGTATATATTCTTTTTCTGTATATGTAGGTAATTTTATTGATTAATAGTTAATAAAATTAATACATATTCTGTATATGTATTAATTTAAAAGAATATAATACGAATTGAATCAGGTTGCAGATGGAAAATTTATTATTCCTTGTTTTATTATTAATATTATATTATTTATATATTCTCGTTTATACACATTTATTTATATTATTGGCAAATAACAAAATCAATTATTTGTTACAGAACTGTTCCATTACTAGGACTACTGCTGACGCACTAGTAACAGTGCCGTCCCATTACGATACTCTCCCATCTAATCTGTGGCAGAACCCGTCCGAGGCGCAAATTTAGACCTCACAGCCTGGCCCTTCCAACAGGCCAATACCACGACAGCATTACCAGGGCACCCGCCCTTGGAACGCCTGAATCTCAGGGCATGTTCACGGTTGTGAAAAACCTTGGACAAGAGACGCTATGCCGAGTCTCACGAGTCTCTAGCGACCCCTAGAATGGATCCGGCTTGGTTGTTTCATCACTACTTAGATGCACCGCATTGGTTTTAGAATTAAGTTGTAGTTAGACCAAGCGAGCGATATCTCGTTCTTCCGCTACTTCTCTTCTTTTTTTTTAGTATAAGATATTGCTAAGGGCATTTCTTAAAGTCTGACCTTTAAGTAATTTATGACCATGTAAGTAATGTCAAAATTTATAGTTCACATACAATGAAGTACATTGCATTAGTTTTGTATTTGCATTGCATGCACTGAAATTACGGTCATGAAAAGTTTGTGAGCTATTTATTTTGTTAAAAATAAAATTTGTTAAAGACTAGTGCAAGAGAGGTATATAAATTTAAGTCGTCTGGTATGACGTTTATAACCGTTTTGATTGGTAAATCACATTGACGTTACAACACATGGCGAGTTACTACTTATCTCTTATGAGGTGCGAAAGTGCATTTTACTTTCAATTAATTCTCTCAGATATTTATAAGGATACAGACAATATAAATGCATGACTAGTTTATAATATAGTTCTTCCTTTTTGAAAACCATCAATGGTCAGACTAATTTATTGCTTGACTGTAATTTTATATTTTTATTTTAAAATAGTAATGTGTTCTTTTGGTCTAACTCCATCATTCACTAGTATCTAATTTCGAAGTATCGCATGATTTTTGATCATACGAATAGCTCAATTAATGTTTCAGAAATCATTGCAAACGTGATGAAACGCGTGTTAAATCACCAAAACGCCGTCAATCCAACAATTATTGATAAGACTGAAATGAATCCTTACTGTTTCCATGATAATTCAATTGAATCACCTACATACATATATCTATTATATATTTGTGTTCTTATTTTTAAGTATGTACCTAGTTTAGTTTATTATTCGAAATGTAACTTTTATACTACGTATCAGTAAATAAATCTGAATTGTTTATGATTACACGTTTTAATATTTGTTTCTGCGTGTACATCTCGAAACTTTTTAATTATCTAAAGTAATAAGTTAGTTGTATATGCAACATGAACATTAGTATTAAGTTGGCACTAACTGATCCTAAGTTAAGATCTGTTAAGATAACGTATGTAATTTACAAAATAAATATTATGTGCGCTTACTTTTATCTTATTTGCATTACATTAAAAAAAATATAATCATAAGCCGGGATTTGTTTCGCAATGTGTAAATTACAGTGTTTAATTATTAAAATTATAGTGTTTAATTATTATTATTACTTCTTAATGCTATCTATAGTTCTATTACTGTAATTGAAAAAGATTTTTTTGATGGAATGTTATCTCAATTATTTTATCTAGGTATATGTACTTAGAATAGGTTGTTTCTAAATAGTACCAATAGGTACGTATTGTAGTTCTGAAATGGGCAAAATGGTGGATTATAATTGTAATTGTTGAGGATGGAAATATCTGATCGCATCGATAGCTAAAATAGCAGTTTTTTATGATCTATCTGTTACGATTGTTGAAAGGAATGACAATCTCTTTTTATAGAATAAATATAAATTAGTGATTAGTAATAATAATTCAATGTGTTTTATTCAAATAAATAACCCGTCGTCGTACAAGATAGAATAACACTAATAATAATCTTGTATTAATACACGACAGTTTAACTGTGTAAAAAATCATTTAAATCGATTGATTAACAAATAGAAGTATATAGAATATATAGAAGAATCATCTTTACAAGTAGTCACATGTATAATTAGACTAGCGACCTGCTCTTTCTTCGCACAAGGGCAATTTACTGTAAGTCAAAAGGTCAAACGATTTTTTTTATAAAATAAATACTATAACTGAAAGATTTTTAAAACCAGTTTTTATTAGTTTATCGGTTACAAACATAAAACAAATTATTTCCTTTCTAGTTACCAATATAAATGTAGATAAATTTCAGGGTTGACTGAAACTGAATTTCGTCATAGAATACATATTCTATTTATTCTATGGTTATAGAAGACAATAATTACATATGAATTAACGTACATAATATTGTTGTGAAACTATTTTCATACCATAAAGTATGCTATACATATATCTGATGTAGAAATGTATAATATATTCATTCATTTAGAAAGTTTTTATTCCAGACAAAAAGTCCGTCAGCTGTCTGGGTCATTACTAATGATCACTATAGATTAGATCAATCATTGCGAAGGTTATCCCCGTAAAGTCGTGATCTCAAAGTTGTCTAACATGTATTAAGCAACTGCAATTTTGCAATTTTAAAATTTAAGTACAGATATACTTAATCGACCCAATGATATTACAATAGGGCGAGAAGGTACGCAAAATACGGTCACTGGGACGGAGTCCAGGAGAAACCAGGAGTGGTTTAAGGATTGAGGCCGCGAGCTTAGAAAGAATGAAGTATTTACTACATAAATTACAAAAATTCAAATTCAATTTAAGAAACTATAACTTATAATACAGTTAAACTAGTTAAACTGAATTTGGCACGAGACTGATTTGATCCTGATATGCTATCAGTATTATTTATAAGTTTAACAAAACCACATCTCCCCAGAGGTAGACTGTAAGAAATCGTCGGCGTAGATACGACTTCACTTATTGCAGCTGCTATGTTTCTGCTGTATGGTGGAGATTAGGTAGTCATAATACAGGATAAGAGGCATAAGAATTTAGTGTAGAATGGCATCGCGAGTGCAACATGATAACGTGATATCCGATGGCGTTTAAGTTTACAGGTGACGATTAATTGTGGCAGTTAGCTTGTTTGCCATTCCAATTACATACAATAAAAATTTTGCTATTATTTTAATTTTGCCTAAATAATATACTAAAGTTTTTGAAACGTTGCTTACTTACATAATGGAATATGTTGTCGTATGGTGTATATAAAGTATGGAGGCAGAGATGGTAAGGTATAGGAAAAGGTTGCCGGAAAGTTAATACTAAACCAATTTAAAAGTTTAAGGTTTAATTTGTATTTGACTTACTCACTAAATTTCGTTTCATCCTTGACAGTATATACAGGTTAGAAAGAAATATTCATAAGCCTAAAATTTTATCAAATTAATAGGTACATGTTGACTATCACATTTAGCATGTTTTAGAACAGGCGTCTCTAGGATGGGATCTGCTCTAATTCTCTAAGTTATGTATTGTATTTTGTGTTATTTACAGAAAATCAACTTTCAGTTATAATATTTTATATTTCTCTCAAAATAGCCTTTGACTTTCCCGTCAGTTTTCTTCAGCTGATTCAGCGTTACCATATGTTATGATGGTGTAACTATAGAGTCATAAAAAACAATATTAAATTCAAAAGTACAGTGTACGTTTATTTTAATAATGATTACTTTATTCTATTCATATATAAGTTGTATTATATCTGTTATATCATTATATGAATTAGGATCAAGAACGAATAAAATATATTACTGTAACAAAATATTTTGAATCTTACTATGTGAAAACTAAGTTCAAAATTGTATGGTTGCTGTTTGCGATAGGCAATACGCGAAAACTCATTCAGCATTTGTACTTTGTACCTTTGGCTATGGTTGAACAAGATTCACAAAAAAATATGGACTTCACTTGCTTACCATACGTCATAACAGCGTAGCGTGGGTGTTCCGAACTGCTTTTATGTTTATATTTGCCATAAAATTATTTATCATCCTGTATTTATAAGGCAGTATGACATACACCATAAAGAGGCAATGAATTATATTACACTGGGATAATCCTATGATATGTATGCTTATTAGATTATGTATATAGTAGACAGTGAATCTTATTTTTAAATACTGTAACTATATAATATAACGTACGAAAAAGAATAAGTTGTGAAACCTATCTAATTAATTAATAAACTGCAGGATGTCACAATAAATATTTCAGCGGAGCAAAGCGAGAAAAAAAATTACTAAAGAAATAAATCTCAAAAAACTATAACGATAATAAAGGCGTAACTTATAAAAAAAAAGTATTTGCTGTGCTACCCGTTGAGTCTCTGTAGAAGTTTTCTTAATATAAACATTTTTTTAAGAAATAGGAAACAAACTGACAGTCCACCTTTTTTTCGGACTACTCTAATGCTGTTGGCCGAAGCTGGCCTTTACAGCTTCACCGCACGATATACTCCACATGATGAAAGCTATAACCATTGTCAGTATACATAAGCACCAACAAGAACGTCACAAAATTAATTGTTACTCATAGTAACTTCTCGCACTATGTCGTTTCTGAGTATCCCTAAGGCTTTACGCCTCCTTTTTCTGTAATTTCAGTTTTCTGTTCCGAACAGCTTTACATATACACCAAGCTGCTTGGAAACAGAACTAACATAGCTACCAACTTTTATATATTATCTTTTCTGTACTTTTACCATTCCATCGCCATCGACAGGAAAATGAAAGGAAATGAGTGCTTTCGGACAGTACGCTTACAGAGGTTTCCTCTCGCGTAAACTAAGATTGTATAATGAACTACCTGGCGAGATTTTGCTGGGTTTCTTTAAGATCGTGAACGCCCACATGATACCCCTAGGGTTTGAGGTATCCATTGCCTATGGTAACCCTCAGATGAGTCGTATGCTTAATTGCCATCGTGGTATAAGGAAATAGTTTAAACAGAGGTCAACTCGAGCAGACAAAATAGGATGTCATGTGTATTGCTATATCATGTGTATTATTTACTCGTACTTCCAGCAGAGTAATGGAACACCTGTCAACAATTCACGTTGGCGGGTATACAACTTGATCGATATATCTTACATAAATAAACAAGTTGCAATTAACTAGTTTTCGATCAGTTCTCGATCAGGCGATTGCATCAGTGTACCAACAAATCAACACTTTCCGTGTCATATGAACCAAATTCAGTGTCAAATTCAATTCGACTAAATCAGTATAATACACCCACTATTATACTGATTTATTTTATGTAATTGGAATAGTAAACAAGCTAATAGCCCACCTGATGATACGAAACAAAGCAAGCTGTTTAGCGACTAAAATAGGTCAAACTGAAATACCCATGCAGACAACTTTTTGCAGTTTACATCTGGTTTAGAGGAAGAGACTGTCAATAACGAAGAATTGCCCCATTGTATCGGTCTGGGTATTTTCTATGTATATATTTACAAAAAAATGCTCTGCTTAACTTGAGACTATAATTATTATCATTATCGGTAATAGTATAGTATATCATGTAAAAAACTATACAGATTCTATAAACCTTACATAAAAATATATGCTAATCAATATTAATCAAAAAATCATAATGTATATAGAATTGGCTAAAAAAGTTACAACCGTAATAAGTCGGTACCTCTACATTTGGTACATACATTTTGTGTTACCGGCAAAAAAATATATCTAGATTTCGGAATCAATCAATGCACTGAGCACAGGCATTTGACGTAACAGTTGCAATTTATAATCTTTCCCCTTAACATAGTGCACTCGGAAACAAGTGAGAGGCTTTTATGACCATGACTTACTTCATTGACGGATGGTGTCCGTGCCCGACCTGGAGAACTGCCTCTGAATGATACACGTTCAACACTGTTCCACGCATTGTCATACAAAACTTTGAGACGTTCGCACATGCTTGTATAGAAACGCGCGAAACGTGTTGCGAACTCGATTACGAGCCGCTCTTGTGTTCAAATCGATTCGAATAATCGATTATGTGTTTGTGATATTATTACTGTGAATCAGTTGTTACTTTATAAGGTAAGTAATTTCGCAATTATGCCTGCATGTTTCGGAGAATGTCATATTCAAATTAACAGGGATAAGGTATTCAAATTCACGTGTACTGAAATAGATACAATGTGGGGACGTCATGTGGTTTTGTTATGACAATTGATCATATGCTGATGTTTGATTTTTAAAGATTTCTAAGATATGATCTAAATTTAAATTGTGGGTCACATCTTAAAATAGTTGGTTTTTGGTATTTTCAAAGATAAAGTACATAATTTCCTGGTATTGTGTATAACAGAAAAGTAAAGAATAAGTAGTACCTAAATGATCCGTGAACGTGTAAACATTTGAAATAATATCACGTAATAAAAATCTACTTAATAAAGTTGGTTACTTCAACAGTTTTCATTTCTTTGATGAGCACATGCTTTTGACTAGGTACAAATAGGTAGGTATAAGTAGGAAATACGTATTTATTTGACTAAACGTCTCAAAATTTAATAAACTAGTAAGACAAGTTTTGCGCATGTGAAATAAGATAGATAATATACCTATTCAGATGTAGGTACATACCACATATTACACCTATATATATATATATATATATAGATAATCAGAATACAATGATGCCTTTCTTTAAGCATTTCCTATAGCATACTAAACGATATGTGAACTATACTCAGTTGATATTATTTTTATCTACTCTATGTTTAGAAATTTTGCCTTTGTTGTCCTACAAGCACTCTGGCTACTTAAATCTCTCTACATTAACGGAGAGAGGATAATCCCCACAATAAAGTGAACTATTGACGCCATTGCTAGCAAAGTACGTAGGTATG